TAGGAGGAGTTACAAATTCATTGTCCTAACTATTACAAAAAGAGGAAGATGATTAGATATGAGACATGCCTCACCAATGAATGCACATGTCTTCAAGTGGATAAGGAAATGCAATCTCCTTTTTTCAGGTTGAGAAAATACCCACTTCCTTTCAATGACAAATAGTAAACCCTAAAACCAATTTTCCTTTATTTTGATTTAAAACAAAAAATTCAAATCACATGCTACATAAAACGGGCCACGTCATGTAAAACAGACACATCAAACGAATTGGCCATCATGTTAACTATTTAAGCGTTGTTACCATAAAAGGACTAAATTGAAAAAAATTGATAAAAATTGGGAATTGATTGAATATATATATATATATATATATATAGATATTAGATATATAATATATATATATATATAATTAGGACTACAATGAACAAACTCAACACAAATTGGAACTAGTCAGTATTTAAGCTAAAAACCAATAACTACCCATTCTCAATCAATAACCTTGTGTTTGGATAAGGAATTTTACCAATTCTAAGAAATTGAAATACATGGTATTTCAATTTTCTTCTTTTCTTAAATAGTTTATTTGGATATAGTAATTAGAATATCTTGAATTTCAGTTGTCTTGTTTGGATAAAACAGATTAATTTCTCATGTAAAGAAAAAATCTATATTAAATATATTTGGCTAGATCTTTGGATCAGATTGATTTGACTTGACTTTTGGTATAAGTCGACTTGTTTTGACATTCGTTCTAGGTCGATTTGTCTCGACCTTCAATCCAAGCCAACTTGTGTAGACCCTTGGCCATGGTCGAGACCGCTCATCCTTCTTCTTAGGCTAAATCGGCTCAACCTTCAATGTCAAAGGTTGAGCTAAGTTGATATAAGTTAAAGGTTCAAGGCAAGTTTACTAAGGCAGAAGTTTGAGTCAAATCAACTTGGATAAAAGGTCTAGCCGAGTTGTCATTTGCCAAAGGTAGAGAGTAGTTGTCCCTAGCCAAAGGTTGAGACTAGTCATCCCTAGCCAAAAGTTGAGACAAGTCGACCCTTGCTAGAGGTTGAGATTAGTTGGCACTACTCGAAGGTCGAGAAGAATCGACCTTGACTGAAGATCGAGACATGTTGGCCTTCGTCGACGATCAAGATGAGTCGACCATCAAGATGAGTTAGACTAGGGTGAAGGTCGAGAAGAGTTAGCATAGCCCGAAGGTCATGCCAAGTAGGCCGAGTGAAAAGTTGAGCCTTGGGCCGAGCAAAGTCGACTTGGGCAAAAAGTCTAGTCTAGTTGGCCTTGCTGAAAGTTGTGAGACAAGTCAACCCTAATCGAAGTTTGAGACAAGTCGATCTTTCGAAGGTCGAGACGAGTTGGCCTTAGTCGAAGCTCGAGATAAGTCGGGATAGGTTGAAGGTCGAGATGAGTATATCCTGATCGATGTTTAGAATGAGTTGACACAGACCAAAGGTCGAGTTGAGTAGGCCAAAGCCAGAGGTTGAATGGACTAGGCTTAGGAAAATGACCAAGCTTAATGGACTCGAGCCAAAAGTTAACCTGAATCACCTGACGCAAAGGTTGAGCCATGTTAGTTTGTGCTGAAGGTCAAGCACAATCACCTAAAGTCAAAAGGGCAATCTGAGTCAACCTGTGTATATGGTCGAGCTAAGTTGACCTGGCCAAAGCTCATGAAAAGTCAACCTTAACCAAAAGTTAAGACAAGTTGATATTAGTCAAAGTTTGAGACAAGTTGACCCTAGTTGAAGTTCAAAACTTGTCTACATGGGCCAAAGGTCGAGTTGAGTCGAATAAGTCCATCCTAAAGGTCAAATTCAGTAGGTCTAGGTTGCCAAGTCACTCAAACTTGAAGGTCAAGCCATGTCGATTTAGGTCGAAGGTCGAGCCCAATTTGCTGGACCTGAAGGGTCAAACCAAGCTGACTCAGAAGAAAGGTTAAGATGTGTCAGTTTGACCAAAGGTTGAGACCAAATTGGCCCAAGTTGGAGGTTAAGACAAGTCGGCCTTGCACCAAAGTCAAGATGAGTTAATCCTAGTTGAAGTTTGAGACGATTTGGAATTAGGTCGACTGAGTAAGTCCCGACATAAAGTAAAGCCAAGTCACTTGGGACAAAGGTCCAACTCAGTCGATTCGGACCGAACAGTCGAGCTAAATCGACTCAGGCTGAGTCAATCAAACAAAAGTTTAAGACAAGTCATTCCTAACAATATATAGAGACAAGTAGGTTTTGACCAAAAGTCAAGTCAACTTGCCTCGAGCTCATAGTCTAGCCAAGTCAACCCAAACTTAATGTTGAGATGACTCGGTCTGAGCTGAGTCGATATGAATTAACTTTTTTAATGTGTATTTTTTCATCGTAATCGATTAAGAATTCCACAACTTGTGAAATTTCAATTTAATTTTTTTCTTGAGTGAATTTCAAATTCTTTTATGTTAGTTATTTGAAATACTTCGTTAAAATTCTTTAATTTCTATTTTTTTTTTAATTTCACACTTCAGACAAGTCATTTTCTTTCAATAAAATTTTAAATTATCTAAACAAATGAATTAGTCTCTTAAATTGTCTTGTCCAAACACAACATCTATGCTTGGTTAGAGAATCCATAAACATATTTGGAATTAAAGCATTGGAGGAAGTGGATGCGTGGGTATTCCTTTGGGGAGCATGGTGAGCCATCATTGTGAAACCGAAAACCTATTTCTACTGGCCTAAAAGCACCGGTTTAAGAATTAGAATTATGCATGAAGTGATTGTTTTTGATTTATGATAGTCCATGGGAATTTCCTGGAGTGAAGAGAATGTATTGAAAATGTTAATGGCAGAAAAGTTGAGGGGTAGTCACTATAACATGTTAAGACGCAAGTGTTGAATATATATAATTTTATACAACCAAATGATCATATAGCCAGTCTCTCATAATCACATAAGCATGCTCAGCATCCACATCCTCTTCAGGAGATCCAGGTCGGTGAGCAAATCCGTGACCTCTACCGGGAAACACCACTACTTTGGAGCCCTCTCCAATTTTCTTCTGAATATTCTGGATTTCACTTACCACGCAAAGAGGGTCATTATCTCCTAAAATAAATAACACAGGAGCTTTTATATCAGAAGCAGCAATGGCATCCATCCTTGTTCCATAAAAGGAGATTCCAGCACCAAAACAAGAACCGTGATCTTGGGCCAGCACCTTCAACACTTGGCCACCTCCAAAGCAGAACCCAACAACGCCCAGTTTCTTGGAAATCCCTGCAGCCATAAATTCATCAAACAGCCATTTTGTCCATCTGCTAATATCTTCTGCTATCCTCTCTGGGTTTTGTCTACCAATCCACTCTTCAAACACATCTGCCTGCTCCTTTGTCCAAGGATTTCCACGAAATAAGTCTGGAACTAGAATGCTGCAAATTTGTTTACAATCATAAAGTGAAAACAGCCACTAGGGAATCTTAATACGTTGTTGATAAGTATAGGAGTTGCGGAACATACTTGTAACCATTGCAAGCTACCCGATATGCAAAATCTCTAGTGAAAGAATCCTCAAAACCGAAAACATCAGAAAGAAGCAATAGGCCCGTTCCATTGTTATTTTTCACTGCCTTGAACAGATAAGCCCGTATATTATCATCACCCTCCCCAATTGAAAGCTCCACTCCACTCACTAGTTCACATGTTTCATCATCTATCCCATCTTGCACATTCAGTAAGCTACATGATATTTTTGAGTCTGCACCATCTTGAACTGGTCTTGGAAGATACAAATCGCACTTTTTCTGAAAACATGCTGAAGAATCGCACTTTTTCTAAGTACAAATCAATTAGCATATCAACCTTAAAATGATGGAAATGACACACCCATGGTTTTCTTACCTAACCAAGCATGGTTTTATTACAACAGCACATACAACTCTACCAATTTGAGTATTTTGAACAGAAATCATGTGAAAAAGGGGAGAAGAACAAAGGTTTGAGGGAGCGAATAACGTACAGAGGAGAGGAGAAACGGAAGTTGGAAAGAAACGGCACTGACGGCTGAGAGGCTTTGCTATGTTTATGTTTATTCCACCACAAACACAAACTGATGCTATGCTTGTCCTTACAACTGTTGACATCCTTCCACCAACTACCTCAGACCTCCAAGAGGAATGTACATAAATGCTTGGTTTCCGAGGTAGATATTTCATATTGCTTCTATCCTTTATATTATCCTTTTCCAAATCAAATAATACTGCTACATCAATATTTTTAATAACATAATTGCTTTTTCAATTTTATATTATGATATTTTTATTATTTCTAATTTGTTTATCTTCGTATTTTTTAAGTTATTTTTCAGTTTTAAATTATATTAATAAATTATTACCGTTAAGTCTTGAATATCTAATAAATATAAGAGTTAAATATGTTTTTAGTTCCTAAACTATTGACCGTTTTTGGTTTTTGTCCCTGTTTCAAAGTAAGGTACAATTTGATCCTCATTCTTTTCGAAACGTTCGTTTTAGTCCTCGAAAACTAAAGACTGTTTAAAAATTTGGTCCTCATTTAGCAACAAATGAGGATTAAAACCAAAATTTCGAGGACTAAAACGAATGTTTCGAAAAGAATGAGGACCAAATTGTATCTTACTTTGAAAGAGGGACGAAAACCAGAAATGACCAGGGACTAAAAACATATTTAACCCTAAATATAATTATATATTCTTTGTTTTATTTATGTATTTATAGATTCTGAAATAGATTTTTATTTAAGATTTTCTAAATAGGTAAGACATGTATGTGTCAATGTCACTATGTTGGTAATAATAATTTTAGTGCCAAATATGTTGGAGTTAATAGTTAGATTAAGAAGGAATAACCATAATAATATAATGGATAAGTAACTAATGCCGAGCAAGGCAATCCCATTAATCTTATCCTGAGTAAGGTGTTAGTTAGGCAGCCAGCGCATTTTATATCACATGGAACGTTGTGGCTAACATACTCTTGTGATGTACACTTTTTCAGTCTCCACCATTGGGGTTCGGTTAAAATAAGCATATTCTCTTACTCTCTCCCTTTCCAAAGCGTCCTTTTCGTAATCGTTGTGTCTTTCATTAGCGTCTCTGTGATCGTCCTCTGTTCTTCTCTGTTTCTCCACTCGCTATCTTCTTTTTTTGTTTCTTTTTCCTTATTTATCTTTTACATTAAAAATCTTCTTGCTTCTTACCTGTTCGTCATCGAACGTTCTCCACCCAGAAACGATAAAATCCATTGCCCCAGTCAAAGGTAGTCAAAGGTCTGAATGGATCTGTGCGCTGTTCATGCGAAGAACCTTTTCCACACAAATTCGTTTTGCCTGAGACCAATTTCCTTCAATTTGGGAAGGAGAGGAGTTCCTTTCGGAGTTGTTGATGGACGAGTGTTCGAGATCACTGTTCTGAGGCCAAAGTTGTACCGTAGAGGGCTTCGCCCATTTGTTGTCAGCGCCACGGGCAAGAAGAATAATGACAACTCCTCCTCTTCTTCTGGTCCGTGAATTGCTTTAATTTCATATTTACATTCTTTTTTATAGGCAATAACTGCTTGTTTTCGACTTGGAAATTTCTTTCTGTCGTTTTATTCGTCTGAGATCACAATTACATATAGGAACATCGCATGCATGTCAATTGATTTAGGGTATCTTTGGGTGTTAGGGTTTGGAGAGGAAGGAAACCTGGGTAATTTTTTTCATTTTTAATTATTGATAAATATTCTTTAATTTTATATATTTTATAAAATTAATGTGCTGTTATACGTTAATTGTTTGTTTACTTTTTATAAACAATAATAACTCTAAGAAATTATTTTTGCTTCCTTTTGTTCCTTGATTTAATTTTCTCCCTCAATCCCAAGTAATTTCTCCATGGAAATTGTAATCCTCCTTCTCTTACTAACTACAATGGCGAAGCTTGCCTTACCTTTGGTGGCCCAAGTTCCCAGTTATTTATTATTTTTATACTTGTTTGGGGATTTTTTTCTTTGTGCATCTTCCTATCCCTCCCCTGGAAATTCATTGAACATAGGTCGATATTCTACGTCCCTTCCGGGGAACATAAATCAATTCTGGAAATAGCTTATGATTAGGATTTATTAATTTATTTTAACACTTTTCCATTTTTCTAATCTTTTTTCTTTCTTAAATATCTTCCAATCTTTTGCAAATTAAAGAAAATATGATTTCTATTTAACGAGATTCAACAAATGAAAGAACAGGTCCAGTCCAAAAATCAAGGATTTTGTTGCTTCTTTATCAAGTTCAGTCTAGAGCTCGCATCTTTCCGTGTGAGAGAAAGGTCTATGAAGAAATGACGAAAATGAGGAATGGCTATAGGTTATCCCTTTGTTTAATTTGTGATGTCAGTTTTAAAATTTCCAACTTGGGTGCTACAATGATGCTTTTATAATAGTTTTGCAGCTGTGTTGCATAAATTATGCCTTCTTACAAACTTGATGCGTATTTGTAATTTGAGAAAATAATTTATTAGAACTAAAAAAAATCAGTGATTTAAATTTGTTTGTTGGTGAACATGTTTGGGTGAAAAGATTACCTCGTGAGACATTTCTGAAGTATGGACAATATGAAATTCTAAATGTGATAGTTTCTTATATTCCAGTTTTGTGTACTTGGATTTAATTAAATACTCTGGCAGTGTCAATGATGTTTACACTGTCATCCAATTATAGACTATCATGTATGGTAAGATTTTCTTACGTTTATTATAACTACTTTGGAAGTTATCCCATGATGAGTTCTAATTGGTTGACTGTGTAAAAATCTTTATTACATTCTTATGCTGCTATCTTTGTTGGACACTTGACATATTTTTTGTTCCTCTAAAGGTGCATTCTCTTCTTTTTGTTCGGAAAGGGTTCAGAACATATGATCTTATTATCAAATTGGTCTGTTATTTATATTTATTTTACCAAGTTTTTCATGAATGGGAGTGATATTTATGACATACGCTAAGCAATTCTGTCTGGTGAAAACTACTTGGTCTTCTTTTGTACCGTCCTTATTGTTTCTTGGGTAGAGTTTGAAACCACTTGTTGAAAATATATCGTAGACTAAGGATGGGAATTTGGATTGATCACTCAAATAAGTATTGATGTCATAGTAAAACCACACTACCTTATACCTTTTTTTCCATATTACTTATTTTTTTCATTGTATTGTTTTCTCTTGATAATGATATGATTTTACTGGAGTTCATTTGTGAATATGTTGGTCATTACAGGCAATGATGATACTAGAGGAAACAGTTCTGCTGATGGTAACAAATCAGATAGCAACTCTGAGAAATGTCATCATGCTAATCGGGATTGGCGTGAGTTCAGAGCAAAGCTATATAGAGATGAGCTGGTGATGCATTCATTCTAAATGAAATCTATATGTAGCTCTCGCGTGCCATTTTTAAGTGGAGGGAATGAATTTCATGAATCTTTTTCTTTTTTTATGTTTTGATGATTGTCAACTTCATGAATCTCAAAAAAATGTTATTTCAAACATCTATTAGAACCACACCTGTACTTTGTTACAGTCATAGAAGCATGCTTAATACATTCAGAACCGTCTCCTCTTGATGAATTTGTCAACAATCTAGGACACTTGGTTGAGTCAGACAACTATCCTACACCTGTCCTGTTTACCCAACTAAAGATTTATATTGATGACCAGGTTTTAAGCCATACAGGCTTGATTAATACGCTTTTATTAGTATTCTTTTTTACTTGTTGGTACTTGCAATACTTTTAATTATTGATGTAGACACAATCATTTATGGTTTAGCATATGTAAGCAATGCAGTGATTTACTTGCACATTATATTTTGTTAATCGGTTTTCTTCACTTCATTAACAGAAAGAAATATCAGATACTGACACTCATAATCAAAGTGGAACTTTGCCCGATTCCAATCCTCTTGGAACACTGTGGGCTCATCCTATTCCTGTGCCTGAGACTGGCTGTGTGCTTGTGGCTACGGAAAAGCTTGATGGTGTTCGCACCTTTGAAAGAACTGTTATTCTCCTTCTCAGATCCGGAACTAGACATCATCAAGGAGGGCCTTTTGGAATTATCATTAACCGTCCTCTGCACAAAAAAATCAAACACATGAAACCTACAAATCATGATCTATTAACTACCTTCTCTGATTGTTCTCTGCATTTCGGTGGACCCCTTGAGGCAAGCATGGTTTTATTGAAAACAGATGAGAAGATGAAGCTTCCAGGATTTGAAGAGGTAATTCCTGGGCTATGTTTTGGATCTCGAAACAGTTTGGATGATGCTGCAGGGCTTGTGAAGAAGGGAATTCTCAAGCCTCAGGACTTCAGATTCTTTGTTGGTTATGCTGGATGGCAACTAGATCAGCTGAGAGATGAAATTGATTCAGACTATTGGTATGTAGCTGCCTGTAGCTCAAGTTTGCTTTGTGGGGCATTATCAGATTCTTCAGAGAGTTTGTGGGAGGAGATTTTGCTGCTAATGGGTGGGCATTATTCAGAATTGAGCCGGAAACCAAAGCAAGACATGTAGGTATTATGGTTTCAGATTTAGAGACAACTGAAGAAGGTGTAATCAGGATCATTTATCCTCCTTTCAAATAAGTAGATCTTTATTCTCTTTTCCCTCTCGGTTATTATAAGAGAAATTGTACCTATAGTTTGATGTAAGTATGAGAATAATTACGTTAGCTGCATTTTACAATATATTTCAGAATTTCATCTATAGCACAAAGAGCTCCAACAACCATTGAATTGGTATTTCCACGATCTATAAGCGCGGATGATAATGGAATCTGCATTTTACAATATATTTCTTGGACGCTTTCTGATTCAATTAAATTTTTTTATAGTATTCGATCTGAGCAAGAATTTCTAGAGAATTTATATTTGAAAGTTGCATGTATAATTTATCTTGTCTGCTTGTTCAAGTGTCCTTATGTCTGCATTTTAGGTTAATCGGTTTTGTCTGTATAATTTTCTATATTACTGAAGTGAAGACTGGATTACAAATTTCTTTATTTACAATACTCAAACTACTTTTGCTTTTGTGTAGCATCTGGTTTTTGTAGTGATTGTAATGTGTGTTGGGCTTGTGAGTTGTTGTATAATCCTTTTGGAAGAATTTGATAGTTCTATGAAAGGGAGTTCGAATAGAATTATTAAAACATTTTCCTGGAAAATTGTTCACAATTAACCTCTCATTATCTGGTGGTTACACATGTTCAGGAGTCAGTATCTGGTGGTTCTATAACACATGTTCAGCAGTCTTTTGAAAGGTATATAACCAGTAAGTAATATATAGTGTATTTAAAGGATTAGTAATAACAAAATTTAGTACTAGTTTACCTTAATTTAGCCAAATATCAATAACAAAGTGTTCCACTAAGTATTATTATTGTTATCACTTTTACCTTATATAAAACTACTTTTGACCATGAGTACACGCGTCTCTTATTAAGTACACAAAGTCTCTTAAATTCTTTTAAGGTTCAAGTGAGGACGCACAACGTCTCTTTCAAGTAAAAGTGCAGAAAACATCTTTAAGCTATATAATAAAAATTTATTGTTTGATTACAAGGTTTACACATGGATATGAAATTATAGATTTTTTCTTACAAAAGTAGGCAAATTTGATAGACAAACTACGTGAATAAACAAATTTTAAAAAAATGACGAGATTAGGAAAGTCATCTAGCCTTCATACAATTTCAAATGAAGAAGTCATACACTCTTTATATGACTTTTGTTTCTCGCTCAGCACTCGGTCGACTTAAAAGTTGTTAGGCACACTCCCAATAACTTTTAATTCAATTTCATGAAAGTTGTTTAGGAACAACTTGTAACAGAGCTGACCTCATGTAACCAAACTATCATATAAGTCCAATTGGAACACAATATAACCATGCTAACCTCATGGAGTTCGAAGCTTAATGAAGCATGTGAAGAGCTAAGTGGAACATGTGGAGAGCTCGATGGAGCATGTAATTAGCTCGATGGAGAGTTGTTTTCTCCTGGACGATTTTTTATTGAAATCAAAAGTCGTCAACCCCCACCCAACAACTTATATCAAGCTTTCCACATGCTCTATTGAGCTAACGACTTTTAATTTTAATAGATAGTCATCCAAGGGAAAAATAACTTTCAATTTCTATAAAACAACTCCATCAAGTTAACCATATGGTCCATTGAGCTTTCCACATGCTCCATCGAGCTCTCCATGTCCCTTTTTGAGCTCCATGAGGTCAACTCAATTACAATATGTATTCCACCTAGACTTATGATAACTTGGTTACAATTCATAAAATGTTATTTGGAAGTTGTTGAAAGCCTAATGACAAGTCACATGTTGATCGACATAGAAACAAAAGTCGTGTGGGGAGTGTATGACTTCTTCATTTGAAATTGTGTGGGGATGGTAGGAATTGCCTATTCTCGTAATTTTTTAAAAATTTGTCTATTCATGTAATTTTCTTATTAGATTTGCCTATTTTTGTTAAAAAATCGAAATTATATGCTACTTGTTTTAGACATTACTTCTTCACATTATAAGACTTTTTGGACACTTTTCTACATGGATGCATAAATTGCTCATTAGGTCTCAGAGCCCTTTTTTCTTTTTTGCATGGAAGTGTTTTCTTACATAGACATCCAGAAAGAACTGTTACATGCTTTAAGGCCTCTTGGCTTATTATTTTTTAAAGTTTCATGACTTTTTATTGACATTCTTTAAATTATGATAGTGGATCACATTCTTTATCTATTGTAGCATATGATTATCCAGTCTGATCGAACAATCAACCTTTAATCAAACCATCTCATGAGCCACCAGCAAAACCGATTGGTTTGGAAGTAAATCGATTGAGCATGAGTAAGCACAATTAACCTTAATGTTGATCAAATTAGAGGTAAAGTGTGATTAGCCACGATTGAGTCGTGATTAGGTCAGTCTAATCAAAAGCCCATTCTAAAACCTATAAATACAAGTTTTAGGTAAGGAGCTAGGTGACCTACATTTACTGTGCTATTCATTTTTGAATTGCCATTAGAGTCCCTTCTGTAGACACCCTCTGAATGGTTTGGACGAGCGATTGTGTTAGACATTGAACTTCAGGACAACTTTTAAACCCTAGACGACTCACCATACTTTGGATCGTTGACCTCGATTCTACATCCTAAAACATATATGTATTAGTGACAATACTAAATCAATATTTCTAATGAATGATATTATGTGTTAGAGTTTTATTTTGGACTAGCTCTCTATTGATTTGTAGACAATACGAAATGAAATCTCAAGAACATGTCTAAGGCTTGACATTGCAATCAACCATCTGATAACGTCCTTTTCGAGCTAGGTTGGGCAAAGCACGAAGATGAAGCTATGGAGGTGGAAGTGACGCGGAAGCTATGGATATGGTGGTGAACCTCATGGATTTGCGGGTGGTTCACATGGTTTTGGTGATATTTGTGGTGGAATGGAGGTTTTTGATGGATCTCTTGAGAGGTTGGACCAACTCTAGAAAATGAAGGCTAAATGGACTTCATGGGATGCTCTAGCCTTGATTTGAGATGCACAATGATTTTGGTAGCATAACCTTATGATTCATCAAGTGATTGTAGGGAGATACACCTCCATTTATAGAGGAAGGTGTTTCCAAAGTATACCAAAACCTTAAAAATTATCCATTCTTAGAATGCCATGTCCAATTCCACATTAGCTAAAGTTTCTCCACTTAGAAAATGACACATGATCACTACCTTTATAAGAAAACTTTTCACTAAGGGCTTACCATGTGACCATCATGTCCAACGAAACCGTCCACCATACTATAGTTACAATCCCTACACTACTTGGTCCTTAATACAAGACCTAAAAGATATCCTATAATATTTGACCTTTAATACATGATGACTTTAGTTTTTAATATAAACATTTAAAATGTATTGTTTATATTAACAAAATTTAGTAATTATAAAAATTAAGTTAACTGATTTTATTTATTTTTTTATAAAACAAATATAAATAATATTAATAAAGCAACATTAAAAAAAAAGCACATGCACCAAATCATTAATAAAAGAAAAATAGCACATGAAGCAAAAACACAAACGCATGATATGAAGTAACCACAAACAACACAACATAATCGCATTGGATCTTCGTATCCGATTATTTGTTTATCTAATTAAATTATAAATTTATTTGATATATAAATTTAAAAATAATTATAAACTAATAAAATAATTAAATAAATAATATAATTAAAAATTTATAAAACAAAATCGAATTTTCATATCAATTCTTTGTTTATCGAATATCAACATCCGATAAACTCTCTTTCAAATTTTCATATCCGATACACACATTTTCAAAATTCTATTTTTTCTAAATTTTTTTTATTGAATCTAATAAATTCATACAAATTACTTTTTAACAATTAAAAATTATTTAATTAAATTATAAATTCATACAAATTAATATATAAATTTAAAAATAATTATAAACAAATAAAATAATTAAATAACTAATATAATTAAACATTTATATAACAAAGCACATCAAACATGAATTGGATATAAACATCCGAAAATCACAACATCAGATGAGATACCACACACTTAACTAAAGAGAATAGATGAGTTGATTCAAATGGGGTGCAAATAGGGTGGATGGTTTCTTAACAGAGGAAATAAAATGGGATGTATGTTTCCTAATAGGGGAAATAGGGTTTTTAAAATGAAATGGGTTTCCTAAGAGGGGAAATGGAGTGTAGTCAATGCTTCATTCAATGCACATAAATTCTCAACAACACAAAATTAACTAATGATAACCACCTCATTAATTAGCGGATATTTTAGAAAATTAGAGTTGCAAAGGTGCAGTGAAAAACTGAGGTGCAGGGTAAAACACTCAAAAAGGTGTACGGCATTTCATGACACAAGAAAAGAAAGGGAACGTAAAATTAAGGTTTTGAGGGTTTTTTAATATTTTCATTTCGTGGCTCAAGAAAGGAAAGGGAATGTGAAATTAAGATTTTAAGGTTTTTAATATTTTTTAATAAAGGGTAAAATGGAGATATTATAATTTATGGGGTGTAGGAAGAAAAAAGAGAGGTGCAGAAAGTGGCAGTTTATCTTAATTTGATTTGATCATAGGGTTATATTTTCTTATTCACATTAAATAAATAACTTGATTAAATCAATCAAAATTAATTATCATCTAAACCATCAATTGTTTATGGTAAGACTCTCAGGATCACAGTGTTCTTTATTTGTATACGTTTATTTTTTAGAGTCTTATTTTCTATATGGTATTAACCATTAATTCTAATTGATTTATTATTTGTTTAATTTCATGAATAACGGTGTGTTTGGTTTAATGTGATATTTAAATACACTAATACAAATTAGTAATTTTTTAAGAGAATTTTATAAACTTGATTGATCAAAATATATATATTTATCCCTTGTCATAATTGGAGGATTTGAATTGTCATAAGAGAAATTTATTAGCAAGATGGTTAATTATTATAATTTCTTTATATAATTGTATGTTAAAAATTAAAATATTGTATGTTAATATTATAAATTTTGTATATGGATGCATGTTGATGATTATTATATTTTTTCCTTCTTTTTAAGCAGAAACAGTAGACTCTACTCTATGAGCTCTATTCCTTGAACTGAAGTGAAGGAGGCTAAACTGAAAGTTAATATTAAAGGAGCGTGAAGTTACCTACAAATTTTAATTCGTGGGT